ATGGGACCGCCATTGTAAGTGGTCATCCGTGGCGCCACGCGAAGTCTAGTGCAAAGGGAGTACCTTCATTTCCAGGTTATTTTAAGACCCCGAGTGTTGGTCCAGCCCCAGGAACCCATGACCTCCTGCTCTGCAGTCAAGCGCTCTAACGACCGAGCTACCGGTAACCCTGCTGTCATGAAATACCCTGAGTGTTGGTCCGAAGTGAATTGCACATTTGCCAGATGTTTCAATGAACATCCAAACAGCTTATGTCTGCGTACCTTGATTTGCAATACTTTCATAGAAGGTCATCCAAATTTCCTGCAGAACATCTTTTCTCTGCTGTTGGAATGACTTACTCCCGTTTTTATCGCCATAATTCCTGTACAGTATTTTGGGTCAGCAGCTTTCATTTAAGCGTAAACATCGTGGTGTTGTACCAGTTCAGGGTCCCTGGTCACGTATATTGAAAACTTCGCATCAAAAGTTGAAGCGTGAAGTCTCTCGGATGGAAAAAAGGTTCAAGATTGCGATGATGTTTTCGGGTTGTTGACGACGTTCCAGAGAAGAAAGGAATGGATTTGTGAAAGCAGATGTCATCAAGTAAGTGTTCGTTTACGTGTATTTGCAGGATTTTTTTGCCCTTAAACCCTTCCACCACTACAGTTTATGGTCGGTCTGCATTTTACCCCAGCCTGCGTTTTACTCTTAGTCTGCAGTCTGCATTTTACACTCAGTCTGCATTTTACCCCTGGTCCGCAGTTTGCAGTCTGCAGTCTGCAGTGCAGTCTGCGTTTTACACTGACCGATCATTTAACCCAGTCAACTTCTTCTGGGCTGCAAATCTTTCACGCTGCAAGAGCCGCCACATCAGACATCACTAGGATATCAGTACTTACCCTCATGAGGAAGCACAAGGAGATCTCTTACTTTCTCATTGTAAACTTCGTACAACTGCACGTAAACAACTCCGTCGTTAAGGTCATTTCTTTGCACCCTTAAATCTCTTCTTGCCGATCTCTCATTTTTTATTCGGGTGAACACGGCGTTTATAATCAAAGGAACTAATCCTGCCTTTGAAGTTTTCTCTCCGGCAACAGAGTAAGACTTTCCCGAGCCTGTTTCGCCAAAAACTAGTACACAGACATTGTAACCAGAAACCAAGAGGTCCACAAGGGAGGAAAATGCATCTCTAAATATATCGTAAGTCAGTGACTCAGATTTGTGCACCGCACTGAAAATGTGACCAGTTCCATCGCCTGCTTGTACACGAGTCCCAGAAAGATTGAGAGAAAAGTTCTCTCCCCGTTTTGGAGGCCGAACGCGAGCTAAAACTTCCACGTTCATCTGTCACAAATATCAAATACTGCCCGCCATTGAAATTAGCAGCCTGGCCTGGTTGCCAATGCTTGGCTACCAAGGGTGTTTTTTGAAACGTCTTCCATCGAGCATGGAACAGACAATTTCGATGTAAACAGTGTCCCTTTCTTCTGTTTCCTCAAGTAATGTGGAATGTTATCTTCGAAATAACTTAATTGAAGCCTTTTCGCAACAATGTTCCCCACAGCTGGATATTTTCGGAGCACAAACTGTCCTTTCTTTGTTCATGGTTTATGCCACCGGCCATATTGCCATTTCCGACACAGCAAACCTGGTAGGTACAGCATGTTTTTTAAAAGGAAGAGTTTACATGCGATAAAAGTCGAGATTTTCCGTTGATTTATAGTTCTTATCTTGCAATAATGTCAGTTCTTCCAAAGAAAAGGGGGAATAGGAAGCAGAATTTTGAAATCATCTAGTTAATGATATTAATCTTGATTTAAAAAAACCAGCTTGTACCTATTGGTATGTATCAGTGACATGCTAACTTAACTGGTTAACCCAAATGAAAGCAACAAACTTTAAACGTCGACTCTCTGTCTTATGGCATTTTTCAGTTTTAGGCTCAAAGGGTTGGGGTGGGGGGAAGGGGGGAAACTTTTAATCTCCGCCCCTCTCTTACCCCTCTTCTGACTCCACCCCCAGAGAAGTACCTAGGGCTTTGGAGCTCTAGGCCCGGTTGTTCGAAACTCCATTAGCACTAATCCATGATTAGACATGCTAATCAGCGATTAAAATTTAATCCATGCTTAGATTGCGTTAGTCAACAAAGCCTGATTAGTGCTAATGGACTGACTCTAATCAGTGGCTTAAATTTAATACACCTCCGGAGGAAGGTTAATTCCCTACGTGGTCGATTAAATTTGAAACAAAATGGCTGACATATTTTTTCATCTCTCAAAGATGCCCATGAATTTATCGATACAACGATAGTATACTCACTTATAGCGATCAAGCACTTCGGGCTCACTACAGATTAAAAGCAAAATTACTTGAACCTCTTTCTTGGTAGCCTGAGTAAACAGTAGACACTTCACAATGCCACCACTAGCAGGGTTGTCACTAAGATTTCAAGTTGCCGGGTGAATACAACAAGTAAGCGGGGAATCAAACGGCTAAGGATTTCTTTTGGTTCTATTTTTCTTCTATTTTCCAATAAAAGTAGCCGGGGGCCACTCTCTTAGTAGCCGGGGAAAATCCCCGGCCCCCAGCTCTTAATGACAACCCTGACTAGTTCCCCCGGTTCACAAGGGAACCAGTGGAAGCGCATTCAAATGTCGGCTGTTTTTACAAGCTACTTCTTGAATACAAGCATAACAGCTTTCCAGCCTGTTATGGGTCTGAAATGTTTCTGGGTCTTTTGAGAAAAGCTCACCAGGCTCTTTTAAAATCTACCTTGATCATACAAAAAAACACTTTATTTCAGTGTCAGGGTATTTAGCAATAAAGTACTAATTGGGGACACTATTCTTACATCTCCAACTGGAGATGCGACCGCCATTTTAAGTGGTCATCCGTGGCACCACGTGAAGTGTAGTGCAAAGGGAGTACCTTCATTTCCAGGTTATTTTAAGACCCTGAGTGTTGGTCCAGCCCCAGGAACCCATGACCTCCTGCTCTGCAGTCAAGCGCTCTACTGACTGAGCTACCGGTAACCCTACCGTCGTTAAATACCCTGAGTGTTGGTCCGGATTATTCACTAAAGGGATTACCCATCAGGGTGGATTTGGTCTTAACTTAGAGTATATGTGGGTAACTGTGTTGGTGGGGGGAAGGGGTGGGAAATGGAAGTCATAATTTCCTTCTCCAACCCCCCTCTGGCGGTCAAGAGGTTCACAACCACTGTATCATTTCATCCAGTCAACTACTTCTGGGCTGCAAATCTTTCACGCTGCAAGAGCCGCCACATAAGACATCACTAGGATATCAGCACTTACCCTCATGAGGAAGCACAAGTAGATCTCTTACTTTCTCATTGTAAACTTCGTACAACTGCACGTAAACAACCCCGTCGTTAAGGTCATTTCTTTGCACCCTTAAATCTCTTCTTGCCGATCTCTCATTTTTTATTCGCGTGAACACGGCGTTTATAATCAAAGGAACTAATCCTGCCTTTGAAGTTTTCTCTCCGGCAACAGAGTAAGACTTTCCCGAGCCTGTTTCGCCAAAAACCAGTACACAGACGTTGTAACCAGAAACCAAGAGGTCCACAAGAGAGGAAAATGCATCTCTAAATATATCATAAGTCAGTGACTCAGACTTGTGTACCGCACTGAAAATGTGACCAGTTCCATCGCCTGCTTGTACACGAGTCCCAGAAAGATTGAGAGAAAAGTTCTCTCCCCGTTTTGGAGGCCGAACGCGAGCTAAGACTTCCACGTTCATCTGTCACGAACTGCCCGCCATTGACATTAGCAGCCTGGCCTGGTTGCCAATGCTTGGCTACCAAGGATGTTTTTCGAAACGTCTTCCATCGAGCATGGAACAGACACTTTCGATGTAAACAGTGTCCCTTTCTTCTGTTTCTTCGAATAATGTGGAATGTTATCTTCGAAATAACTTAATTGAAGCCTTTTCGCAACAATGTTCCCCACAGCTGGATATTTTCGGAGCACAAACTGCCCTTTCTTTGTTCATGGTTTATGCCACCGGCCATATTGTCATTTCCGACACAGCAAACCTGGTACGTACAGCATGTTTTTTAAAAGGAAGAGTTTACGTGCGATAAAGTCCAGATTTTCCGTTGATTTATAGTTCTTATCTTGCAATAATGTCAGTTCTTCCAAACAGAAAGCGGGAATAGGAAGCAGAATTTTGAAATCATCTAATTAATGATATTAATCTTGATTTTGAAAAACAAGCTTGTACCTATTGGTATGTATCAGTGACATGATAACTAGTGGTTAACCCAAATGAAAGCAACAAACTTTAAACGTCGACTCTCTGTCTTATTGCATTTTTCAGTTTTAGGCTCAAAAAGGGTTGGGGTGGGGGGCGGGGGGAACTTTTAATCTCCGCCCATCTCTTACCCCTCTGCTGACTCCACCCCCAGAGAAAAACCTAGAGCTTTGGAGCTCTAGGCCCGGTTGTTCGAAACTCCATTAGCACTAATCCATAATTAGACATGCTAATCAGCGATTAAAATTTAATCCATGCTTAGATTGCATTACTCAACAAAGCCTGATTAGTGCTAATGGACTGACTCTAATCAGTGGCTTAAATTTAATACACCTCCCGAGGAAGGTTAATTCCCTACTTGGTCGATTAAATTTGAAACAAAATGGCTGACATATTTTTTCATCTCTCAAAGATGCCCATGAATTTATCGATACAACGATAGTATACTCACTTATAGCGATCAAGCACTTCGGGCTCACTACAGATTAAATGGCAAAG